AAGCAAAATTAGTGGTGGAATTTATTATAAGGAAGAAGAGAAGTTGAGGATTAAGAAATTTAAATATATACCTCAGAAAAAGGGCCCAATCTCCTTGTTATTGGATGCGCACTTTATCTATTTGGATGTTTGGAACGTGAGAAATTTTGAACCATTCGAGGCCGGTTTTCTTTTCACATCTTCTTCGTAGCTCTCGACTACCAGAAATTAAAAGATTCTGCAACTTGGAGAGGCGATGCATGGCTTGTGCAGAAGGCAGATATTTCAAATTTGCGCAGCTACGAATCCGCAGAGTTTGAAGAGATGACAAGCTTCCCAACCACTCTGGCAAAGCTTCCACTTGATTGAAATCAAATATTCCCAATTTCCTTAGAGAAGTGAGGTGTTGAATTTGAGATGGTAGATATGTTAGTTTTTCCCAGCCAAACAACCTTAATTCTTGAAGGGAGGCGTGGAGGTGGTGGATGGAATTAAGATATGGGAATTCCTTCAACTCTTTTGAGAAACCACCAATTCCCAAATACTTCAAGCAGACAAGACAGCCGAAGCTCTCCTCCGGAATACTCAAATTTTCACAGTCGAGAATATGTAATCTAACCATAGAATGCAAATCCTTCAAGTCTTCGAAGACGGAGATCAGATTAGGGCAGCTAATCATGGTCAATTTTTTAAGTGCAGTGCAGGAGGACAGTCCACTTGGTAGACTCACCACTGAATTGCAACAGCAAATCCCAAATTTTTTTAGAGAGGAAAGCCCATTTACACTTGGAATGGCGCTCAGATCTTCACATCCAGATAGATCTAACTCTTCTAGGCATGTGAGGGTCGAAATACTATCCCCAATTGTTTCCAATCTTGGACATGACCAAATGTCTAGTCGTTTGAGGGACTTCGGAAATGCAAATACTCCATCTCCGATTCTGGTTAATTCAAGGCAATCACTAATTCGAAGCTGTTGAAGAGATGATAACCCGATCATGATTGGCATGCTTTTCAACTTTCTACATCTTAAGATGTTCAAGTCCACCAAATTGTTGAGCGAAAATGATCCACTCAAACTAGAATCCATCCATGATGGACATTTTTCACCTCCATAACATTCTATGGTTAAGTTTGTCAAATTTGGGGGAGGTTTGAGGCCTGCTAACACATCGTCATCATGATCACATTCTTCTGTATTTCTTTCTGTCCATTCCAAACTCAACTCATAAAGTTCAATCTTTTCTGAAAGTTTTGCTTTCTCGGCTTCTGAGTAGTTTTCAACATGCTCTAGATGACATATCCTTAATTTACCTCCAAGTTGGCTCAAGCATCCCAATTCCTCAATTCGACTTCCCTCTCGTAGACCGACAACAAATAACTGCAACGTTTGAAGATCCTTTAGCCTACCAATTCGGAGTGGCATACAGCTGTCTTCATTGAAATAAATGTGTCTCAAGCTGACTAAGTCTTCCACCCCTTCTGGCTGTTTTACAATCCGAAAACAATACATGAACCTCAGTGTCTGCAAACTATACAACTCCATGATAAACTGGGGTAGTTCTTTAATGTCGGTGTATGAAATGTCTAGATACCTCAAATGCTTCATCTTGCCGATCCAAGTTGGCAACTGCTCAATATTAGCTCTCTGAAGGCTACCTTTTTCAAAGCTAAGAATGCGTAACCTTTTGAAGCTATCTGGCATCTTGCCCAAAACATCACCTTTAAGAAATAAGGAGCGGAGTTTTCTAGCCACCTCCACAAAACTTGCTGGCACCATCTCCTCAGCATCAACGAGATTCAAATGCCGAACTTGAGCAATATTGCTCTCTGAACCAGCTTTCAAAATAAGTGTTTCTGATTTTGAATTGGAAGTGGCAAGATCATGAATAAAATCATGCATTCTGCATGACTTAATCTTACCAGTTGAATCTCTTTCTTCCTCTAGAAACAAAGAATATGATAACAAGTCATTAAAATACTCGTCACCAATATCCTCCATTGAACTTCCTTCTGATGGCTGAAGAAAGCCTTCTGCCATCCAAAGTTCAATTAACATCTCTCTTCTAATTTTTGAATCCTTGGGGAAAATGGAACAGAAGGTAAAACGTTGCTTCAAAGGGTTTGGCAAGCGATCAAAACTCAATTGTAAAGCTTGATCAATCCATTCCCTACTATCATCTCCCAATGAACTAGTACCCCATGCGTCAAATTTATTTTTAACTGACAACCACTCATTTCTACCCCTTTGATTGCTTAAACTAGCCCCTATGACATTGGCAACTAATGGCACACCTCTACATTGTTTAGCTATTTGCCTCCCAATTTCTTTTAACTCGAGACTAGGCACTGAAGAACTTCCGAACGCTCTCTGCTCTATTATAGACCAACATTTATCATCTTCTAGTTCTTGAAGATGATACATGTGTTCTCTAAGTGTTCCCATTATAGATGCTATTTTTTCACTCCGAGTTGTCACAACCACTCTACTCACCTTATTTTTATTTATTTCTAACAAACAACCCCTTAAGGCTTCCCACTTCACTTTATCCTCATTCCACACATCATCTAAGATGAGTAGATAGTTTTCCTTTTTTAACTCATCTTGTATTTCTCCCACTATGGTAGCCTCATTTTCAAATGGACAACCCTTTTTCTTAAGAGACTCAAACATCTCTTTTAGAATTTTTTTGACATCAAAGACTTCAGACACACAAATGAAAATTGTTTTACCAAAATTCCTCACTATTTTCTCATGATTTTGCACTGATTTTGCTAAGGTGGTTTTTCCTAAACCCCCCATACCCACTACAGATATAACAGAAAGGGACTCCTCATTATTTGGATCAATCAACAAGTCAACTATTTTTGACACATCATTCTCTCTTCCTATGACTCTAGGACAATAACTAGGAGAGGAGTATGCTGTTTGAGGGTTGCTTCTAGATTCATGGGTAGCATTTCTGGACTGAAGTCCAAATTGTTTGGCCTCCTCATTAATCTCAACTATAGAAGCAATAAGATTCTTGATCTTATTAGCCATCTTGAGACGAAATATGAAAGGATTAGAGAAAGTAAAGAAGAGACAGACCTTCTTCTTCATTTGCTTTTGAATCCATACCTCCTGTTTCAGTCTTTCATAAACAACCTCATCCACAACATCCTCAGCCTCACGAGCCACGTCTCTGAGGTTCTCAAGCCAAAGCTTCACAGCTGAGCCTTCAACTTGCCTTCTATCTGCATCTTCCAACAGAGCACGGATCATGGTCAACTTGTTGCAAAGTCTTCTGAGCTCTGCCTTCCAACTGACTGCAAGGTTGATTTGCTCAGTAGCAACTGAAATCACCTTGGATATGGTGGCATCAACAATAGGACCCAAGACAAGATCGCCCATCTTCACTTCAATACATCTAGGAAAAGTAAGCAAATTATGCTAGAGGGTTAATAGGGATATTATGGAATTATGGGAATAGATGGTGGTATATATAAAATAGGGGTGGATCAAGGCAACTATTATTGGTGCCACGCGGTTTTGAAATCTCCAAATTACCCTTTCGCTAGATGGTAATCAATGTGACCGATGGTGTGATAAAAAAGTTGGTCAAGTCACTGGAGAGTAGACACCGCCCTCTGAGGATGGGGTCCACATTACTGGTGAAGATCTTACGAACAACAACGCACATTTTCTCCACCACTAAATGATTAATGATCAAACTCCATCATTGCGGTTGATGGCCGTACATCTCATGAAGTTAATGAGCTCTTCACTCAATTCGAAGATCAATCCTCAATTGTTAACACTTAATAATATTAATTTATTAATTATTATTTTTATTAAAAAAATATTAATGATCATCCTTTTTTTCTGTAAATATGTTAGTACATCTTATCAAAAAAAAATTAGTTAGTACATAAAATTTTAAATTTTATTTTTAAATACTAATAATTCTCTTATCTCAAAATTTCATAAAATTAAAAAGAAAAAAAAAACGTACATTTTGAAAGAAATGTGTCATAGAAAAGGTGCGTTATTGTACTTCGACTGGAACCCTGTACTAATTTAGCAGTTTCTTTTTAACATGATACACAAAACAAAAACGTAAACAATGACGCAAAAGCAGCACTGGGACAATGGCCATGCCCTAGTGATTTCTGTTCGCCAGAAAAATATCTACGAAAGAGGGTAATGAAAGATTGTGTGAGGAGTCAGGTCATGGCCTCAATCTTCCTAGAGAGAGAGAGATGATTTTCTTCATACCAATTATTACTTACTGACATAGCCATTGCTTTGGACCTACTATGAACTCTTTAAAATTTTTCAAAAAAATTATATTTTTAAATTATATT